ACGCAGTAGTATCGCGGGAAAAGCTGCGATCAACGGCCTTTCTACGAGGTGATCGACTGGAAGGATGAAATGGGCGGGTTAATGCTACTGTTGGACAATACATTATATGGTTTCAAATTCCGACTTCTGTCGTGCCAACATCTACGCAACTGTTTCCTCCAAGCAAATGAGATGAGAGGTAAAAATGGAACGAGGTGTTCGAAAAGTTAATCAAGAGAGGTTCAATCGCGCGTAATGGTTAATCTAAAAGGCATGCTGGTAAAGACGGGGAAAATAAAACCACATTTTTGGTTTATTTGTCACCAATAGTCGTCAGCTGAAGGTTGTCATGTGAGTATCGGTCGACTAAAGGCAGGTTGATTCCTCTTATCGATATAAATAAGTCTTAGCAAAAGTCACGACTAAGGATATATTACTTCTATTCGCAGACCAGAGAAATGGGTTCCTTCTATCTTCCAACTACCACAGTTGGGGAACTTCAAAAAAGAACAAAGGACTTGAAGAAATTATTCGTAATATCAGTCTTGACAGTTTTGACTACTTATCAATAGTTATGCGTTTCTACTTTTCGCGACAGTTATGCAAGCGAGACGCGCATAAGTTTGTCGGCACCGGCGTGCCAGACGTAATATCACATGACGCGAGCTATAGGTTATTGAAACTGGATCATGCTTTAGAGCGGAAAGCACATGTTATTGGTTCAAGTTAATTGCAAGGCACTGGTCCACTTAAACCTGACCCAACCGCGCACGGTGGAGAGTTCCAACCCCAGATGGTATCGGAAAGATGTATAAGGTTGAGAAATAGTAGGTATTTGAGCTTCGATTGCGATCCCGGTTCAGTGTCTGTATTTTGCATGACCTTGGCGTGAAGCATTTTCAGAGGACTAGTAGCTCTGCTGAATTAACCCAAAATCTTCTACTTTGAAAAGTTAAAGTTAATATCATAAGAAATTCTAAGCTCAGCTGCATTTTATTTTAAAGGATAGCCTGGATTGAATAAAGGATAGTCTTAAAGCACTCAAATCTTTAAGCAATATCGCTCCTTTCCATATTCTGCGAGGATCGGTCGATTGTCGCGGCTGTCAAAGGGCCACTTGAAAGCACCACCTTCCGGCCGACGTAGAATTGGTCATCATAAACGATGCCCCTCCCTTGGGCAAAGCAACTTATCAGTTAGACACCAGAAGAAGAAAATGCGATCACTGGAACAAGAGTCTTATTTTCCTGACGTTCGGATTCTGTCGAGAATCCTTAATCATATGTAATTGTAGGATAGTCTGAATGATGCGCAGATAGGGGTTTGCGCAGCCGTAGCTGCTACTGCTATCTGACTATATCTCTGATGACGAATCCGCGACGGATCTCGAAACGTCAGGCGAATAAGAGTGTTGTCCCAGCGATCGAGTCATCTTCTTCTCAAATCCCTAATCTCTGTCTTTTATCCACAACCTAGAATTTAGCCTGGTGATTGTACTGGATCTGAGTACAAATACTGCTCAGATCATACAGAAGAGTAACGGAGAGAGGTATGTGAGAAGATCCTGCTGCATCTCTTCCTATTATAATGAGCCTGACGCATTGGAAGGTGCCTTGGGACGTCAAAAGTCGGTGTTTGGAAATTCACCAACTGCCAACTCCTCCCTCGTAGGCGAAGACGCATTTTGAAACGGACCATCCGTAGAGTGGCCTTAAGATCACTCCCGCCAACGTTATCTACGGGACAGAAAACTTTGTCACGGGTTAGATGAGCGACCATCACGTAGGCGGCCTAGATGTCTGGGGGGTTTGGATGTCACTTCAGTCATTTCTATAGGTCCTACCCACGGTCGGTTTAACAAGGCCTTTCTAGTAGTACACACGTAAGGAGGCAGAGGGAGTCAGGCCAATGGAACCTGCTTCCTCCCAGTAGAATTAACTTCCCACACAGTTTATCATGGCCCCTCGGAAAGTGGTGTTAGTGTTGTGCCTATAACATGAAAGGCAAACCATCTGAAGAAAGGATAGCGGACGCTACAGCGGTGAAGGAAGTAGAGTTCAAAATCCCCAGTTTCTTCCCCGAACCCAAATCACGGATCTAGGCCCCTTTCACCTCAACTGCCTTTGAAAGCTCTAAAAGTTAATCCGAAAAGTTAGCATCTTGAGTGCTCATGCCCTGGAATGAACTGGAATACTGAACATTTTCGTAATGTTTTTCATCGATTCCGATGTGATAGCATGACCCTGTTGCCAGGAGGTCGGGTCAGTCCCTGCTACAACGACTGGTTCTTCTGTGAGGTGGTTGCAAGAACTCACGTTCGAGGAGAACCAAAACAGTCATATCAGGAAAAGTTAAGAACTTTGCTTGATGATCGTGTGCTGAGATTTTATTTAAAGAGCAGCATACATGTCAGAAGACTGTAAAAAAAGAACTGAGGCAGACATAGGGCAAAAACAAACAATATACACGCAGAAACAAAAACAAGCACAACGACTTTACATCAAAACAGCCTCCACCTCCGTGTAACTGTTCTGTCAACAATCAATCGGGAGCCTGGGTTGACTAGTTAATAGCGGTTCAAACTACCTATACAACATAGTGGAAAAAAACACCCCATCAGAGCTTAACTCTTCTCACCCTGTCCCCACTTAAAGCCAGAGCCGGCCCCCGTCCCCTTAAATTGGCAGCAAAATAGCGGACCGGCAAACGTTCATCTCCTCGCGTAGCGTACGGAATATGTTCAAAATCGATCATGGTGGACAAACCATTGGACATACAGATCAAGATATTTGGAAGAAAACAGCATATAACAGACCCAGAGCAATCTGTAAGTCTCACCTTGGTGACCTTCCATTAAAGGCTGTTGGTGGGGCGCTGACCCTCCACCAATTGGAGGCTAGATGGCGTGGTCTCACACTGGGGGACGGTGATGCCTTCGTCTCCGGAACCTCCTTCATCTCCTGCTCCGGTGGCATTCTCTCCTCCTCCTCCTCCTCCTCACTACCGCTATACCGCGGCACCACAACCGATATTTTGGGTGTGACGGCGAGCCCTGAGAAGGGGCTGTCCGGTGATTCGGGCGATGTGTCCTCTCCGCGTACAGATAGGAAGGCCAGGATATGTGGAAGCCCCCGAGATGCAATCTGTAGGAAGGTAGAACATGCAGTAATGTCTCACTGTGCTATGAAATACATTAATTGAACAAAAAGCTATTCAAAGACACCTGATATTAGCGTGGCAACTGGCAGTCCTGTTGTGATGCCACTTTCCGGTTGCCCAAAGAAGTCAGTAGCCCTGCTGTAAGTGGTCTTCTTTCTACAGATTTGATAGTTTTATCAATACTTAGACTTTGAAAACTTCTTTCAAGGGGTTTAACAGAGTAACCAGTTTTGACACTTTTGCTTTGGACAAAGAAAAGTACACTGTCTACGAGTTCGGTAACATATCCAGCAGTACAGTGGAGCCTCGGGTGACGAGCAGCTTCGTCTACGAGCATTTCCGGTAACGAGCGATCCACTCGCAGAAAATTTATTTCGATTGACGGACTTCCGCTCTGTTAACGAGTTGTCACTGCGTGCTTGAGTGCGCTTCTGTCTGTCATTGAGTTTTCCCCCCAGGGCATGGGTCCTCAGTCGCCTGCAGCCAATCAGTGAACTGATGCAGTTTGCTTAGCCACCTTTCGTAAGGCGAGCGTTTCTGATGACGAGCTCGGTGCTGGAACGGAGTAAACTCGTTAACCGAGGTTCCACTGTAACTCAAAAAAATCACACAGTCTTGCTATTTTCAGATGGTAGCTCGACTGATTACAATCTGGTACTTTAATTGATTATAATTGCTCACGTGGGCAAAAAGGCCTTCCTGTCGGTTATGATGTCAGTAAGCCTTAATAAACTCCTGCCATCATTATCTCGCTATATAGTTGCGAAAAAGTTCACAGTAATTGCTCGTATCGCGCAAGGCCACAGGCACACACACACACACACACACACACACGCATACACCCCCCAATCACGTGCTTCATTTGTGAAGGTCTAGCAGCGTCATTTCTCCTTCGTGTACAACTTGGCAAACCACCGAATCAACGGCAGCAAAAGTAGCAACATGTGCGCGCAGCGATGAAAACGTTTTTGCCACGCTACGGTCTCCAAAAAGTCATCAAAATGCACGGAAACTACACCACAGACAGGACGGCAAAAGGATTGACTTTAATTCCCCTACGTTACCTTTTTACTGTGTTCCGTCATGCAGCGTCCACATGCCTGTATGTTCCTGATTGGTGGATTTTCGTAAACTTGACCGCAATTATATGTAGCCTGGAAAACGCGCAGTGACTGAGACTATGCGAACCAAATAGATCATGGGTGGCATCGGAAGCGTTAAGTCTCGCCCTTAGAGCTTTTAAATACTTAGTTCCGGTTTTCTGGAAGGTGTCCAATTAAATTTGATCAACGTGCCAGCGTGGGTTTTCTATCTAACGGGGCGAAATCAGAAAAAGCGCGCCTTTAGCTCCATCGTCAGGCATGAGCGGTAATATACGCCATGACAGAGCGGTGAAAAGCGTAAACGGCTAATATCAAGTATGATGCGGTTGATGGTTAAAGGAGGGGTGGGGAGGGTCTTGACATTCCAGACAGAAGGAGGACATGATAACGTCACGCGGCGGGATGCGTGTAGAAGTGTGTTTGATGCAGCTTTAGTCAGGGTAGTTGAAGCGTTCGAATAAACGATTTCTGTTAGTATAAATCTCCCCTTTTTCTCTCGAAAGTAAGAATATAATGCATTTTTAGACCTCTTCAAGGCAAATTTACATATTCCATTCACCCTGTGGAATATATTATATTGGTTGAACTTCCAGGCACCTATCCAAGGGGTATTATAAAGCTCCCTCCTCATGCCTCAAACAAGGCACGTCTTATTCACAGAACTCATCTGGTCGACAGCGGCCAGCTAGTAAATGTCAGTCAGAGTTTTAAAATTTTTATTTATGAGGTGTCGACGAAGTAATCCAGCTTATTATACCGACTGATAGTTGCACTAGCCAGGATTAGGTTGCCTGGTCTAATGTTGGCAGAAGGCTTCAACAAGGTCCTTCCGCCATTTGGACCCAGGCTTAGGCACACGCATTCCACCCCGTATCCTATCACGTAACGTTGCAGCAACGAGCCACAAACCGCAGCTAGAACATAACCTTTCTTCGTTTGTCGTGTCTAGATTCCTCTCAGCCCGCTCATCAATCAACTTTATTGTTAAATTTATCTTTTCGCGATCCTACCGCAGCCTACATTACTATACATGCGCAAAGACGAAGTTAAAAGCCTACGTGTGCCCTCTTTTATTTTTTCAATGCTTACATGAGTCAGCTCACAGAACCTGAGAACTGAACGTCGATCATGAAATCACTTTTTTGCCTAAATTTAAATGAGGTGTTTGTCGATAATCCAGATATTCCCAAGCGACCTCAGTTGCGTCGCGCATGTATCATATTCGGGATGTATTTTTAATGCGTGGGAAACAACTCACTCAAAATCAGTTCACTGAAAAACTAGCATGTTTTCTTTTCATAACGTTTCCTAACCCTACACGGCGAATCCATTGTTCCTTTCAAGTCTGTAAATAATCAAATCTGCCTTGACTGCTTTGGTTCTTAGACTAATTACAAAAAAATAGATTTTATTACCCCCAGAGACTTGTGAAACGTGCAAATCAGGCAGCCAAAAATATAAGTGTGTGCAGCAATAAAAGTCGTTTCTGGTCGTCAGATGGCGCACACTGCTTCACGTGTTTTGCACATTGTCTAGAACTTCGTGCATTCAAGAACGCTAATTCCAGTCATTAATGCATAAACTATAGGTGCTCAACTGTGAGGTGAACGCACAATGAGCATTTCCCTTTTTCACACAAAATAGATCGGTTAATGCCACTTTAGGGTGAGTGCGCATCCTAAGTGAACGAAATTGAAGGTCATAGATCATAAGAGTCAATTTCAGCAGTGTCACATTTAAAACCTTGTGTAAATAAAATACTCCGCCATACGTCGTGGGCACTGAAGACTAGGAGTGTGCTGCATAAACCAAATGAAGTGCGTATAGCTGTCGAAGTTCACTTTAGCTTCAAGGAGAAACTACTCCGGCGGCCTGCAACGATTAATAGCCTCTATTAGGTCTCAGTGGCCAACTTAAATTTCTGAGATTTTCATCTGGGAGCTCTCACCTTTGCGATCTGACCTCGATTGGCTGTTTAACTCAAGGGTTCAGAGTGCTTTCAAGCAACCGTGAACATGACCGTCAGATGCAACCTAGAGAGACTGGCGAGCGCTTCTGGCTTGATAACAGCCACAGAGTAGATATGCTATCGCAAGAAATTTTAACTGAAACTCTGAAATGTATTTTCGAGCGAAAAATAGCATTTAAGTAGGATTATCATGTTAGTTATAGTGCATCATGATCCAAAGATATTTCAGTCACATCAGCTGATGTCGGTTTTTGAACGGGGTTCTTCCTGGCTGAAAGGATTACTTAACCAACATGTAGTTTCTGATCAATTTTCGATACCTCTATATGTTCAAATACATTTTATAGAAAAGATACACGAAAAAAATAGTTCTTGCACTCATTAAGTAGGAAATAATATTTTCGTAAATCTTGTTTGCTTAAAGTGAAACTATTTTTCGGTTTTATGTAGTTTCTAATTAAAGTATCATGTCCTAAAGTATTGTCTCTGTCAATTTATTAATACTGGTTGTAAGGTATAAAACATGGTCCATATCCACTCTAAAATATTATGAGCCCTATATGAAATCCTCTCAACAGCATACGAAAAGACAAGAGATTCCCTACATGTAAAATTCACAATTTTTAATTTCGAACCCAGGAAAGCAGGTGTAACAGCAAGTCCTGTTCCAAAATATTCGGAAAAAATCAAAAGAAACGTTTATTTCATGTATAAAAGTTGGAAAAGACGCCATTTACCATCAAATAAGTACAAGGAAGCACATTTATTTGCATCACTTTTGGAAAATATATTTAAGTGCATAAAGGCATCAAAAATCAAGGAGATAAAGGTGCGTACTACATATACACATATTTATTGCATGATGTAGTTGTCTTTGGATAGCGGAAAGAAGCTTCTTCAAAAGGCAATGTCCTGAAGTGACTGGAGTATCTTGGAACTAGTCTATTTAAGTGATCCTTTTTAATTTAAAACACTGTGGATTCCTAATTAGTCTTGCACGTGATAGCAAACGTACCGTAAGTTAATTATAATAAACCCAGGCTGGAGACGCACCGAAACTTGGCAACACGATTTATTGGGTTGCCAAGTGTTCTAAGACACACACACACACACACACACACACACACTTCAGCACCCTGAACTACGACCTCACAGTCCGTCCGCTGGGGGGTCGGGAATGGGAACAGTCAGCAGTAGACGGCGTGAACCGGCGTGTACAGGGCCTTTCCGCTTCGTTTTGACGCTCAGGATCCATACACGCGGTCGTATGGTGACTGACAGTAAATAGTCAAAAATGTTATCGAAAAAAAAGCGATTTCTAGTCTAATACTGACTGCGGATTAGTGATATTCACACCTACCCCACGAGGGGCTAGCCTGCGCAAGCTTCCATGACAGGGTAACGATTT